TCAATGTGGTTGTTTCCTTTGCACCACTCTCTTAGGCCCTGACCTCAGACTCCGCCCACCCCATCCTTCGTCCCTCCCCGGGAGCCACATCTGTACCCACAGTGTCAACGTCCATGACTGCATAAATGACTTTCAAGGCTCTATTTTTTCTGCCTAAGGCAGTTTGGATATTTGTAACGTCATCTGCAGGCCAGACAAAATTATCAGCTTATAAATGAGCGTGCTATAGATTGAATTCGGAGTCTCGCCCGTGGTTGCCCTGGCAGGACCATACCAAGCAACTTCACTGCCTTCATAAGGCCTGCAGGCTGGACGTTCCCCACACTTGTCTCAATCCCACCTCTCTCCTGACGTCTGGGTGTCAATCTGCAGCACCCACCAGACAGTTCGTTGTAGCTCCCAGTCTGCACAGGCCACTGGCTGAACTCATCTTCTCCTTCCTTCCACGAATGCAGGACACGATCACCTTCCTCTTTAGGAAGTGGCAGGAACAGACACCGAGCTGTCCAAGTCAGAGACAGAGTCGACACTCTAGACGCTTCTCTTGCATTCTAGCCCTAGAGACAGCAAGCTCTGCAGTCCTGTGGTGTTCTTCTGAAAATTTCTCCCACCCAGCTCCTTCTACACATGTCTATTGCACCTGCCCAGAGTCAGGCTGTCAACAAACTTCCTCTCGATTATGCAATGCTCTGGCCACTGCTGCAGGGCGTCTGACTACAGCAGAAAGCCGCTCCGTGGACAGCTCGGTGCAGTTTCCAGGGTGAAGTCCAAACTTTTGATTTTAGCACTGCAGTGGAAATTGATCATCTGGCCCTTGCTCTCTACCCAGGTCTATATCCTGTTGCTCCCCACGTGGAAATGCTTTGACACATTTTTACTTTATGCTTACAACTTAAAACAATATATATATTTCTTGAAATGTAGAGAGATACAGAGAAACACAAACACCACACACGCACACGGGATGGGGGGTAGAGGGTGGGCTATCTATCATCTATCTACTTGGTCCACTCCTTAAATGCCTACAACAGCCAGGGCCAGTGGCAACGAACCAAGAATCTGGTTGATCATCTGTTTCTTCCCAGGCACGTTAGCAGGAAGCTGGATCAGAAGTGAAATGGCAGGGATTTAAAGGGATATGAGATACAGTTGTCTCAGGCAACAGTTTAACCTGTTATGCCCTAACATGCAGTGAGTACCTACTATAACGCTATGTGACAATTCTATAATAAGTACTGGGTACACACGGGGCTCACACATATGCACCTTTATTAGCAAATTAGGAACAGGCCTGGATGCAGCAGCACCAGGTACATGATTGACCAATGGCCTTCACCTCCTCTTTACATCTTCAGCCAGGCCTCACAGTACAAGGCTTAACCTGTACAACTGTGTTCTGCAATCTTAAGGACATAGAGTTTTCAAAGACACAGATGCTGTCTTAGGGGATCTGTAAAAGAGACAGGTGTAAGTTCTGCAGAACACAGGATGCAATGTGGTAAAGAGCCGATACTGCTAAGATAGCAGTCAGGCACCTAACCCAGGCTCAGGACTCAGAAAAGGTTTTTCACAAGAGGTCACACTTCAGCTGAAGCTGAAAGACAAATAATGGGAAAGAGTGAGACAAAGAAAAAAAATGCAAGATTAGAATGGTAAACTTCATGCTGTCTTTTTTACAATCAAAAAAATTTTTTTTAAAGGAAGATATAAATTTTGCCTAGCGGCTAGTTTTCAGGTTATGGTGCCTACATGCCATATGGGAGGTTCTTGGGTTCAATGCCCACCTCCAGCTTCTGGTTTTCTGGTTTTGGTCTGGTGCTAACATGCAGGCCCTGGAAGGCAGTGGTGATAGCTCAACTAACTGATTTTTCTCTTATTCACATGGGAGATTTGGATTGCACTTCCAACTTCTGCCTTTGGCCCTGGCCTAGCCCCAGCCATCTGCTATGAAATAAATGCAAAGTTGTAAACATTAGGAGCAAGTGTGTGGTGCACTGTTGGGAATATCCATCACCTATTTTAGAGGTCCTGGGTTTGACTCCTGGCCCTGTTTCCAATCTTGGCTTCCTGCTAAAGCAGGGAGGCAGCAGGTGATGCTAGTCAGGTCCCTGTCACGCAACGGGGAGACCTGGACCGAGTTTCTGGTTTCTGGCTTCAGCCTGGCATAGCTCTGGCTTTTGCTCGCATTTGGAGAATGAACCAGGACACAGAAACTATCTCTTTCTCTTTCACTACCCCTCACATTAACAAATACATCTTAAAGACAATGTTATTCTGAATCAAGACACATGGATTTTTCTAGGCAAAAGTACCAGGAGAAGATACAGGGGGAAAGCTGGTGGAATAGGGTGCTGCTGGATGATCAGGATTGAGATGGGTAATTTGTTGACTATGATTTAGAATCACAAAATAACTGGATTTGAAAAATGAGATACAAAGCAGTGACTAGTTCAAGGGCACACAGAAAGTTAGTGGTAGAGACCAGATTTGGACTCACTTGGGCTTGCCCTGAGCTCAGCACTGACGGATTTTCCCACATTTCACTCTGGGGAAGATGTCTGGGATTGAGGCTGAGTGAGCCCTCTGAATTTCCCAGTCACATCTCCCTGCCTTGGGGACTCAGTGCCCTGGCAGTGCAGGGTAGGCAGACTGGAGGTGAGAACGGTCAGGATACCCTGGGGCCTTGTTCGCGGTGCACCTGCCCTGTTCCGTCTCAGCATGTTTACCTACTTGAAGGTGGGTGAGTCACTGTTAGCTTTTCCTTCTTCACACAAGGTAGCACTCTAGTCTTCCTTTTTCTCGCTCCTTGCAATCCTTTTTTTAAAATTAAAAAAAAAGTTTGCTTATTTACTTTCATCTTACTTGAAAGGCAGAGTGACAGAGAGAGCGAGAGAGACAGAGAAAGAGAAATCTTCCATCTACTAGTTTACCTCCCAAATGCTCCCAAACAGCCAGGGATTGGCCAGGCTGAAGCCAGGGAGTCTATAACTTCACTTGGGTCTACCCTTGTGAGTGGCAGGGGCCTAACCACCTGCTGCCTCCCAGATGCATTAGCTGGGAGCTGGACTGAAGATGTTAATAGCCAGAATTCAAGCCAAGCAGTGTGAAATGGGATGCATGTGTCCCAAGAAGTGGCTTAATCTACTATGCCACAAAGCCCACCATTCTTTTCAATCCTTTTATGTATTCATTTCTGGACTCTGGCTAGTGGTTCTTAGGATACTTTAAAATCCATTTTCTATCAATTAGAGATAGAAACAAGCCCGTCAGGGAAGGGGCGGTGCCCACAGCATGTCTTAATAAGTGTGTGAATACTGACTTGCTATTGGGGGGAGAGAGGCGAGGTGGAGATTAACATAAACCCAGTAGTTTCTCTCTTTGGGAAATGCTTTTTGATGTCTCGCCCCCAGGAGATCCCTCACCTGTTCTCTAACTGGGTGAGTTCATTGTATGACCATCCATAACTGTCTAGGTTTTTCTAGTCTACTTCCGTTCAGCTCATTTCTGGACCCCAAAGAAATGATTTAATCACTTCCTGTTTCATCTTGACTCTCTCTGAAGAGCCATTTCTTTATTTTTAAGAGAGATCTGACTTTTCAATTCTTATCCCAGGTTATGGGAAGCTAGCCTCAAGAATCTATAAGCCACGAGCTATGATTTTCATACTGTTCTTTCGGCTTTATACCAATTAGCTTACTTAGCTTTTACAACCATCCCATTGGGTAAAGCTATTTCTGGCTCCATTTTACAGATGAGAAAATGAAGGCACAACATATCCAATGACTTGCCCAAGGGCACAGGCTGAAGTTTGTAGAATGGCAGCAATTCCAGAGCTTGTATGCCTACCTGAGGGAGGTGTCCACACAGCCCCAAGAAGTAAGCTCTTGGGAGACCCTCCCAGGCCACCGATAAGAGGGACTAAAACACAGAAGTGACTGGGAGACCTGCTCTGTCACTGGGCTGGCCCAGAACCTCCCTCCCCAGCTGTGTCATGGAAGGGACCTGCGATCCTAACAACTAGGAGAGAACACAGCTTGTTCATGAGACCCTAGCGGGCACTCCTCTCCTCCTTAGTCAAGCCTAAACCTTTCCATTCTATCACAAGAGGCTCTTGAATTGATCCAGCATAATTTATATTTCTTTACTAAGTCATCATCATTTTCAGCATATAGTGAAAAACCCACTGACGGATGGTTTCCTGGGTATGAAGTTCAGTGTAATGAACTGTTGTTAATGAACGGAATACTTTCTCTCCCTAGATACATAAATTGGACAGACTCCACACTTACTCCTTGTCTGCCTTCTGGAGGCCTGCAAGATAAGACTGCACAGTAATCAGCTGGTCCTTAAGGGCCCCACGGCAGATGCTGATGATATCTGAACACGCTCATCTTCTCTGCTTTCAGCCTGGGTTCCTACCTGTCTGATTTTCAGGTCACCTTTTCTGACTTTGTGGTAAAGACTGAGATTTTTAAAAAACGAATTAGAAGTCTCTAGTTTTTTGCAGTCACCTGTAAACTGCTCTCACCCACCCTACTCAAGGAACTCTGTTCTCCTGGGCTTTCCTCCCTTCTTCCCTTGTTCAGCTCCGGTCTCCTGACTCTGCTGGGAGCTGGCTGCTCAAAGCAGGGAGGCAGGCGGGGCGGGCAGCTTCTATCTCTGAGCGCCTCCAACTTTGCTCCTTCCTAGCAGAGCTTGTTTTTGATGACTGACACTAGGACTTGTCTTTCACTGAGAGGTAACGATGTGACTATTATTGCCCTTTTCTCAGACACAACTGAGCTCAGCCTCTCAAGAGAAGAAAACCACTCCCCTGCCAGGCAGAGGAATCCCTCGTTCCTTCTCATAGCTGGAACCCTAACTCCACCAAGCTGGGTACCTGTCCATCCCCTCCTCAGCTTGCCCAAAGCCCAGCACACAAAGCTAGGGGACTCATACCCTTCCCCATGGTGACAGGGACAGGTGGTGAGGACAGATGGCTGCCAGCACCATGCACTCACCATGGTTTATCTCGCGATCCCTTTGCAGGAAAGACCGTGTGCTGTTTGCTGCTGGAGGTAAGTGGATTGTCTTTGGGCGTTTTGAATGGCTTTGAGGTGCTGCTGGCAGAGTTATGGCCGCCGAGACAGACTTTTGTTTTCACCTGTGCTAGGGATGTCTTGGCAGTGCAGGCTGGAGACGCTGGCGAGGGAAAAGGTCTACACATCGAACTGTGTCTTCTCTCTACAATGGGAGAAAGAACAACACTGAGCACGGCATCTGCAGAAGACGGGTCTCTCCCACACTCACCCTGTAACACTCAGGCCGGCAAGCGGGGAGGGCTTTCTTTGCTGGGCCTGCATCCCTGAGGCTTCCGTTCTGACAGCGGTCTGTCCTGGTGTCTGCTCCTAGTTTGCCAACCAGCACTGTTTACTCCTGGTTCCTGCATCGAATGCCAGCCAGAGCTAACACCCATGTTCTTCTTGGAAGGCATCTCCTGGCCATCCTGACACAAAACCGCTTGCACAGCAGGATGGGCAAGGTATCACCTGAATAGCGGGACAGTCACACGGCTCTCCTGAAGCCACAAGGTCCTCAAGGCAGTGGGTAGGGCAGGACTCTCAAAAGAATAAACAGGAAATTCTCAAAGCTTACCCTCCATGGGGGCACTAGATTACATTCTTGGCTTCTGCTGTTGACCTGGCCCATTGTGGACTTGTAGTGAAAAAATCAGCAGAAGACAGTGGCCTATTTCACAAGTTAAAAAAACACACAAAACTGGGCCCGGCACGATGGCACAGTGGTTAAGGTCCTCGCCTTGCATGCCCGGGATCCCATATGGGCACCGGTTCTAATCCTGGCAGCCTCACTTCCCATCCAACTCCCTGCTTGTGGCCCAGGAAAGCAGTCAAGGATGGCCCAAAGCTTTGGGAGTGTGGGAGACTCGGAAGAGGCTCCTGGCTTCGGATTAGCATAGCATCAGCCGTTGCGCTCACTTGGGGAGTCAATCATCGGACGGAAGATCTTCCTCTCTGTCTTTCCTCTCTGTATATTCGCCTTTCCAATAAAAATAAAATAAATCTTAAAAAACAAACAAAAAACCAAAAGCAAGACACTACTACAGCTCTTGGGAGGGACACTTTACTTGTTCACACTTCATCAGCCCCTGTGACTACACTCAATGGATGTGATGAAGATACCCACTAGGAGAGAAATTTGAGTCACATCTTCTATGGTGGGTTGTCAGAGACCTCAGACACACACACGCTCTTTCTCTTTAAAACTCTGTACGCTATTACAGTAAGAAATCTCTAGCCATAAAAAGATGAAAGCTCCTGAGATCCTCAGGCCTTGCTCTCTTGCGCCCCACAGAGTACTTAATTAATATGCATTGAATAAACAAGTGCGATTGTTAACCGCCATCCTGATGGGAAGCAAAGGAGACCACAAACTGGGCAATCTGGGTCAAAGGTGATAATGAAGAGGGTGAGCTCCAAAGATGGCACTCCACCACGAACACGGCTCTGTCTCAGGAGCTGGTTGTTAGTGGGCATTTCTGGTTCCGATGTTAGGTTCCTGACCAGAGGGGGAAAGCCAGACAGAAGCTTGGGGTTCCTCTGTTCTCCTGCTTACCCCTCCACTGCCAAGCAGGCTGGTCTTCTGATTTAAGTGACTCACGCGATCATCAGGTATTTTTGTCTGCTCAGTGCACACAGTAACCCCTGTGGGTCGCTTTCCTCTTTGACTCAGAGTAGACCTTGTATCCTCTGCTCAGTTCCTGCAAGTCATCCTGTTGAAGTTTTGAAAGCCAAGGTCAGTCTATGAGCAAAGAGAAAAGCTGGGCTGGGCCCAGGAGATCCAGGCTCTAGCCTCAGCCACAGCACTCATCAGGATGGTGACCCTGAATTCACCACTTAAACCTTCTTGCTTTTTGTGTCTTTATCTGAGCATGAAGTGGGTCCCTGGATGGCTTCTAAGTCTTCTTTTTTACCCCATCCATCATAAATACAAGGCATACTTGTATCTGCTCCTTATTTTCTCATCTCTCAATTCCTAGATTCTGTGGCAATACCTAATGTCTGGGGTGCTGCAATGGTTTACTCAGGCAGAATCTTCCTTGGAGGAACTCATCCTTCGTGAAATAGCACTGGCCTTTATTAAAGTCCCCGAGAGACAGGCGGGAAGCAGTCAGGTGTCTCCATTTTCCTCAGGGTTGACTGGCCGGGTGATTGCCAAGGTCAGGGCCAATGGCTACTCCACAGACACAGGCCCCCGTCTCTCAGAAAGGTAGAACGCAAGGTGTACTTTGAATAAGATCTGAGTTCGGGCAAGCAGGAAATACAGAACTCAGAATCACTGAAAGTCAGACTGGACCTTAAAAGTCAGCTAGTTTGATCTCCGTTCTGAGAGGTGAGGTGGGCAGTTACCAGTCTGCAGGGCAAAGCCAGGTGATTGCAATGCTGGGGCAAGAACCAAGTCTCCTTCCAAGCCACAGTTCTCCCCTTCAGAAATTTCTTCTTAAGCACAGAATAAAAATTTTGGCAGAGGTTTCCAATACTAAAATAGGACTCTCATTTTTACCACTACTGTTTTAGACACTTCTGTACTCTTCATTCATTCACTAGCTCAAAGCTTATAGTAGGAATGGGGGTGGTACAGAAATACTCCATGGTTTAGGTGGGAGATAGCCGTGAATAATGAAGACAAATAATTATGCAATTAGAGGTGGGTGTTTAGCCTAGCAGTAAAGATACCAGTTAAGATGCCCGCGTTCTGCATTGGAGAAGCCGAGTCCCACATGTGGCTCTGGCTCCAGGTTTCAACCCTGGGAGACAGTGTCAATGCCTCAAGCAAGTGGGTTCCTGTCATCCACACTGGAGAGCTGGAGTGTATCCCTGACTTCCAGCTTCGGCCCTAGCCCAGCCCTGGCTATTGCAGACACCTGAGGAGTAAACCAGCAGATGGGAGTCCTCTCTATCAATCTCTCTGTCTCGCAAACAATAAATATAAAGAAAACTTGCACAAGTGAGCAAGAGAATCACAATCAAGAATGCCATTAAGGATAAAAAGAAATGGACCCGAACAGCAATTCTAAAATCACCGTCCCAGAGAACTCTGGTTATTGACCTTGGCTGACATATCACTGCTAACCTTTCAGGAAAAACAAACAAACAATGAATTAGGTTTTTAAACTTTTTACATTTTAGATTTATAAATCCTGCATGGATTCATTAAAAGAACACATTGCCTATGAGAGAATATTCACTGAAATCTGAGAACTGTTCTTTATGCTTGATGGGTTTTTGTTTATTTTAATGTGCAATCTTTTTTTAGATTTATTTTTTTTTATTGGAAAGGAGGATTACAGAAAGGAGATGGAGAGAAAGATACTCCATCCAGTGGTTCACTTCTCAAGTGACTGCAATGGCCAGAACTGAGCAGATCCAAAGCCAGGAGCAGGAGCCTCTTCCAGGTCTCCTACGCGGGTACAGGTTCCAAGGCTTTGGGTCTTCCTTGACTGCTTTCCCCAGGCCACAGTCAGGGAGCTGCAAGGGAAGTGGAGTACCTGGGACATGAACTGGTGCCCACATGGGATCCCAGCATGTGCAATGCAAGGATTCAGCCACTGAGCCATTGTGTCGGGCCCAAATGTGCAAATTATGTATGGTAGTAAATAGGCTAACACAAACTTTTCCACCTGTGAAACTGTTCTTTGTGGTTCTGATGGAATTAAATAGAACACTCCTTCAAGGTATTACATCCACAAAGCCCACATTTCTACCCCTCAGCTGAGGGAACAAGCTGGCTTCCTACTGCTGTGGGTGAGAAATGTAAGAACTGTAAGTGGCTCAACTATCAGGGTCTAAGTAGTCAGGACACTGTTCAGGAAAATGGGTAGAACTGATGTCTCAGCTAGGGCCCAATGAAAAGATTTTACAGAAAGACGCTATTCCTATTCAGACTGTGCTTCTCCTGTAAGGCACCTGTGGGAGACCTGACGTTTTCGTCCTTCAGCAGACTGATGACAGGAGAAGGCAGGCTCTCCAGCAAAGAGCGGTGGAGAGTACAGCTTCCTAGCTTTGTCTCACAACCATTCACAGAGCTAGGAAACACGTGATCTGAAGCAATCTTCAGAGTTCATGTCTGAACTCTGAACTCTCCCACCAGGGCCCCTGGGAAGAGGCTGCTGCATGCAGGAGCAGCTCAAAGGCACAAGCGGGAGTTCCTCCCTTGCCTGACTCACGGGTACTTGAGAGCCTCCATAGCCAGCACTTCCACACAGCTCAAAACCTCCATTCCAGACAGTCGGGGAGCATTTCCATCCCATGAAGTCTGGCAAGGCCTTAGCAGCTGACTGCTTCAGGCACACTTGCTTCACATGTACTCCTTCAAAACCCAGGGCCAGGAGACCATCCTGGGGACCGGCTGAGCAGGGAGCCCGCAGACTCCGACTCTCAGCTCAGCTGTCTACAAATCTGACAGGTATGGGGAGCCATGGTGTCTCCACAATCTTTTCTTCTTAATCACTGAAGATAATATCCACTAGGTTCTTAAGCAACTCATTTTAGCAAAAATCCAGATTTCTCCCTTCCCTGCTGTGTTATTCACTGGGATATTTTCATATTTATACCATTAGTGTGCTGCATTGTAACCTCCAGATGCTCTGTGAATAACTGTGCTGGCTGCAGACACAAAGAGTGGTTCCACGTATCATTTTAGAAAGAACATGTTGGGAACTTTGCAATGTGGATTTCTTTTAAAAATTTATTTATTTTTATTGCAAAGTCAGATACACAGAAAGAAGGAGAGACAGAGAGGAACATCTTCTGTCCGATGATTCACTCCCCAAGCGGTCGCAACGGCTGGAGCTGTGCTGATCCAAAGGCAGGAACCAAAAATTTCCTCCAGGTCTCCCACACAGGTGCAGAGTCCCAAGGCTTTGGGCCATCCTTGACTGCAATCCCAGGCCACAAGCAGGGAGCTGGATGGGAAGTGGGGCCGTCAGGGTTAGAACCTGCATCTATGTGAGATTCCGGCACGATCAAGGCAAGGACTTTAGCCACTAGGCCACCAAACCTGGCCCTGTAATACACTGTTTAAGGGAACAATCCTCTCCTAAACAGAGTTTGGGTTTTATAGTCACCTTTGGTCTCTGAAAACATGGCCTTGAGCCTGGCACGATGGCTCAGCAGCAAAACCCTCACCTTGCAACTGCCAGGATCCCATATAGGCACCAGTTTGTG